CACGCCGTAACCGCGGGCGTCGCCCGGTGCCGGGGGCCGGCGGGGCTCCGCGCTCCTTCCCGAGGGCCCGCGGGATGCCCGGGAGGGCTCGCGACGAGCCGGTTCCCGCTGCGGGGGAGCAGCGAGGCCGCGCTCGCGTGTCGCGGGGGTCGGAGCTCCGGAGTGCAAGGGGGGCAGCGCGGCCGCGCAGCCCCGGCCCCAGTGCCCGCCTCGCCTCGCGGGCGCTGCGCGCTCTGGCAGGTGCAGCGCGGCCAGGAGCTCGCTCTTCGCTAACCCGCCAACTCCTCTTGTACCCATGGCCAGTTGTGCGCGTCCCGGGGCGCCCTTGCGGCAGTGCTGCCCCCCCGCACACCTGTGCGCATCGCTCCGCGCAGCCTCGCAGGCCGCGGGGAAAGCGCCGCTCGCAGGGGGGGAACGGCCCCGAGACCCTGGGGGCCCGCGAGCATCCAGCGCGCAAGTCCCCGCGAGCGGCGGGGGGGGCTACCCAAACACTGCCCCAAAATCCGAGCGTGGAAGCAACGGAAACTCGTGCTTTAATTCAGATTGGAAAGAGCAACTTTCTCATTATTGGAGCTGCAGAACATGATGGTAAAAGGGGTGTATCCCTTCCTGCCTTACGCTGCAAGACTCTGCAGGTGCCATCTGTGAGCTGCCGGCCCGGAGCTCACCCCGCCGGCGCCTCCAGCACCGCGCGCTGCCGTGGGCACCTTTGCCTTGCCTTTACTTAGACCATTTGCTGCTATTTCCACAGAGCTGAACACCCCATTATCCTTAAGCATTTTAATGCCGGTGTAATACCCTATCATGTAATTGATTACATACTTTCTCCGCGTATTTAGAGTTTTAAGAGGTCACGGATTCGTATACTTCACCTGACACTAGTAATTACCATAAAGATTATATATATATATTATGTAATTAATGCATAATATTTCATCCGGCCGCACTGCCCGGGTGCTGGGGAGCGATGGTCCCCATGGCACTGTACGGAGGGCTGGCATGACCCCCGCTCCCAGGCTATCCCTGATTGTCTCCTTAATGGATATGCAAACACGAGAAGACATCCAACCCTGGCTACCAAAACACAAGGAAAGTAACAGAATGTAAACACAAAGCTGCTAATGTACACACTGACACATGAATGACATTTACATTGTTCTGAATAAAATCGGGGATAGCACGGAATAATGAGCTACAGAAAAATCGCTATAGCAAAATAATCTTTTAGAATGGGATACGGGCTCGTTTGAAAGGAGGGTTTTTTCGTTTTTTAAAAAAGAAATGCAGCTAAAATAATAAAGTCTTTTAACCTGTATTTTGTTATAGGTGACAGGTGAACAAATCACAGGTCTTGAGTTTCTCTAGCCTGCCTCTCTCGGTAACGTCATCTCCAGTGCCATCTGCTACCTACCAGACAAACAGACCAACCACATAATGAGGTACCAGCTTCCACCCAGCTACCGTGACTAAGCCAGAACAAAAGAATCGACGCCTCCTGCAACAAAGGCAACCAGCCTGGGCTGGCCTGGCTAATTGCTGCCCTTCAGGTTGGCTGTTGCAGATTTTAAGTGAACTACAAACTTCCACCAATACTTTATAGCTCTTGGATAAAGGTACTAAGAATAAGAGATAAATGGAAGCAAAAGGTAAGACAGAAGAAAGCTTAGAAAATAAGTAACTACTTATGGTAATTTAAAGGCTGTGGAATAATATAAACATGAAAGACCAGGGGGCAGAGTGATTGATATCTCATATGTTTTTGATGCCCCTACGGTTATTAGACTGCAATATATCGGGACATACAATAAACTATGAATTAAAATGTAATTGTAGCTTCAGGCATCTTCTTCATTGTCTGCTGTGGTGTTATGTCTTCATGCACCGTGATTGACAAGGTGTAATTAATCATCTTACTCAGTTGTAAATATGGGCACCCTTCACAGTAGGCATCAGGAAGTGTGTACCAGCAAAGGAAGCAATAGTTGACGCTGATATACCATTAAATCAAAATCAGAATGCTTATATGTTCAGAAATGTGTGTTTGGTGTGATGCTGTTATCATTTATTTCTAAAATACTGTACCAACAGATTTACTTGATTTGCAAGTTAACTACAACATTAACTGGTTTTATTTATTTTGTCTCTTCTTCATTTTTATAGGCAGTGATGTTGTTCTCCTAAAATGTGAGACAGTTTGTTTCTTGTCAGCAAGTGGAGCTCAGCTCTTCATCTCCCTGAGCTGCTGGAGAGAGACTAGCAGGCTTCGGATTCAGAGGCTCTATAGACTGACTTGAAATGATTCAAGGGAATTATTATTCCACTTGTATATCACTTTTTATGCTCTTTATATAACAAATGAGACATTTCGGGTCATTTTAAAGTGAAAGAGAATAATGAAATAATCTTATTAAGAAACACCATACAGTTTTAAAATAGGACATTCTTGTCACAGATGCTGTCCCCAAACTGTAATGAATGCATTTGTAAAGACGTTTTTAGTATTCACTGGTAAGAGATATTTTATCTGTTTCTCTTTCTGAATGATCACCATCCTTATCCAGTTAGTGCAAAAACGGTGTGTGAGTCACAGGAAATCTAACTGGATTGTCTCAGGAAAATTTGGTGGTAGGCATTTTTTTCACACACATAGAGCTGTTGAATGAGTAATTGGCAACCCATTTAATGTCCTTTGCTTTAAAGCTGTCTAGTACATTTGCTGTTTAAAAAAATGTCTTTCAAAGCTGCTAAATATATAACAAGAAGAGGTTGCTATCGCCATTCTAACCCGAACAAAGACATACAGCAAGCCACCTTGGATACTTCCTGCACAGTATTAATTACAAACACAATAATACATGAAAATTTGCAAAGTTCTCAAATTCCATTTCTTTGTGATACCAACTAATGAGTGTTTTATAAAAGCATACAGTAAAATCTCAGTCCAGACATTAGCTATCAAACATTACCTAAGCCATGTATTTTGAGGAGAGCATAGGCTCTACTAGAAGTGTACTTTTACCATTCACCCCAGACAGAATAAAATTTGCAGCTGTCTCAGAAGCAAACCAAGCTGAAGACAGTGTAAAGAGCACACTTTAAAGAAAGCGATCAGCAAAGAACGTGTTTTATTTTGATTTGAAAAACTGTCAATCACTGCTGAAGAACACCAAACAATATTCTTCTATAATATTAGTCAATTGTATTTGGGAAACTAGGAATAGGCACAAAAATAAATACTAAAGCTTAAAAGGAAAATAGTCTGAATGTTTTGCCCAGATGTTGTGCACTAATTGTTTGTCCCTAATTATTTGTCAGGCAATGGATTTCAGATAAAAATGCAAGCATGTATCTATGCAAGTGAGACAGAAATAAGATCTCCTACATATTTTAGTTTATATAGCCACAGCTATTTAAACAATTCCAAAACTGCCTCTACGGGTGTCAAAGAGGGAGGGAAATCTTCAACCACATGATCTTCTCTCCAGAGTCCTGTTAAATCCACTGAACTTAAAACAGAACAAGAAGTGTGAAATATAGGTTTGAACATGTTATGTCAGAAATGTAAAGGTTGGAAGCCTTTTTAGTAACCGATATTAATATTGTATTAAATGTTATGAAAAGGTAGGTGTTGGGGAGAGGGGCTGGCTCATGTGCAATTTTGTCAAGGTTTTTATCTGTGATTATGATTCCAGATGTATCTATTCCCTGAGGAGAAAAATGAAGTAAAGTTGGCATGTGACATGTGTTTTAAGGTGTTTGGCACAATTTCCCAAAGTGATGACAAAATGTTCATTTTTATTACAGTGAATTGGTAAAGAAAATACGATTGCGGAGGTCAGTAGCTGTATATTTTAGATAAAAGTGGAGTGTTATTTTGGGGAATATAGATTTTTAGTGGTGTCTTTGGATCTGGTTGCTTGACTGGAGCATCTACTATAGTAAATAGTAACTTAAATAGAATGTTTTTTACAAAATATGAAGTGGCAATTGCTAATAATTTCAGTAAATTTCAGGCATAGTATATGCTAAAGAAGGGGAAAATGTTTCTTCTTTCATCTAGCAGTGTAGATGTTAATAGCAATTTATGTTTAATCTATTTACTCCAGACTTTAATGGCTGTTTTGCTAATCTGGTTGCTCTACAGTTGAAGCTCAAATAACTGTAATAAAATTCTTTGCAAAAACACATTTTTACTGTAAAAGGACAATTCTTTTTTATTTATTCTTTTGTTTAACAGTGCAGTGAAGGCATTTTTTTCAATGAAAACTATTTAGTCTAGGCGCACCTAAAGAATTTAGATGAGAGAGTCGCGCGTGGCTCCCTGGTTCCCCTTCCCTCGCCCCTCCACACGCTCCTGTGTGCAGCGGTACCACTCATCCCATGCTGACAGCAGGGCACCCAGGGCTACATTACCAGGCAAACACTCACTCGTAAACATTTTACAAGTTCAACATCAACCAATCGTGGAGGTTTGGGAGCTGCCCTGATTGGGTGCATCCCGGATTTGGTAAACATGGCTGCAGAACAGCAGCAGGGCTTGTGAGAAAGGCTCCTCCAGTGCTGCCTCCTCTGAATAAGCAGGGACTCAGAATATGATTCATTCCATATTTTCTAAGTAAACTTCCACAGCTCTCTATCCATCTGCAAATATTCAGTGATGTGCGCAATACATTCCTCTCTGTTCTACAGGCACTTTTCTTTGTGAATTTAACCACATCAGAAAGCACTTCAGATTTCTAACACAAATATTAGATGCATTTAATGTAAGGAAGCTTCCTTTATTGGAGGTGATTGGGAACATTTTGTATTTTATAGGTGTATTTAAGAGGTTAGCAGTAGGGGGGAATCGTCTGTGGAAAATCTGTCTACAGCTAAAATTTTTAGTTGCAGAAGTGTTGCTGAAATGCCTAATACAGTCACATTCTTTTGTTAAGTAGCTCACAAGAGTATCCTCTCAGCTACCACATATTTTTAAAGTCAAATACCAGTCTCCTTAGCTGCTATTTGTTATTTTCAGTCCTATATACTTGTTTTTATTTTCCTGTGTGCAATTAGAAGACTTCCTTTCTCAAGAAATTCCCTTTTTATCACAATTCTATCCCCAGTTTAGTGGTTCTTTTAAATGATCTCCTGCAACTTTATTTTATATCTAGTGCATACATGAAAAGCGTAAAGAAACTCCTTTGCTATTAAATTTTAGACAGTGGTTTGCAAGTTTTCAAGGACTAATTTTCCATTGAACATCTTTTTCTCCAACACAAGATAGCAACAATTAAAGAACATCAAAGGTTAAGACATTTTACAATACAATTTAGAAGTTCATTGTTGAAATCCCTGCTGTACATTCAGACGCTATTCTGCACTCAGTATCAGAAGAATAACACAGAGGGTTTGAACAGTCTGCCATTTTTCAGATATTGAAATGTGCTTGCCTAATGAAGGCAGAAGACTTCCTTACCAGATTTGTTTTAAAGCAGTGTTTTTAGATAATAATACATTAAAATGTCAGTTTTAAATCAGGTACTAATTACTATTTCATTTGATATTTTGCAAGATACCTAGCCACTTATTATTTATCCTTTATTTCTCTGAGTTGATCTAATTGCACCTCTCTATTTTGCATTTATTTCTCTTTGCAAACACTACATTATTCACTCCTGTGCTTATTAAACAGTGCCACCTGCACCAAATGAAACAAAGCTTCTCCATCAATCTATCCCAGCTAAAGAACCCTGACTATATATTATAATTAATTGAAACTCAATTGAACACTTGAGTCTGAACTAGATACAGTAACCTGAAAAAACATTAAAAATTAGGATGTACTTTAAAGAAATCTTTTAAATGAAAATGTTCTCTCAAAATTGAGATCCTAACCTTGTACCAAGCACTCTTCATCATCTCAGCACAGTACCTCAAGTAGCAATTAGCAGGTCCTTTAATTAATTAACTATTCCCTGTACATCACAGAGATTTTTGTGGCA